CTCCTCCTCCTCCTCCTCCTCCTCCTCCTCCTCCTCCCCGACTCATCTCCCTGGAGGGCGCCCGCCAGAGCAGATGGGTTCCCCAGCCCTCCTCGTCGTGACAGAATCGCGACTTGCAGTTCTGGGTAACTTTCGGCCTCTGGCAGCACCTTCTAGGCCCCATAACCGTCAAGAATGGCTCGGGATTGAGACACTCGAGCTCTGGATCGTGCCGCAACGCCGATGCCTAGGCGATGCGGCGCGATCCTCCGTGCGGGCACGATGTATGTTCATACCCACTGCGTCTTGGAATTTCTTGAAATGGGCGCTCACAGGCCGAGGCGCAGTGGATATGGATAGCCTCCAAGGGCCAAATGTTTATCCATATCCACTGCACCACGGGCTTCTGAGGAAGGGAGCCCGAAACTCCAAAACGCGATTGATATGAGTACTGATCTTGCCCGCACTCCGTCCCCCCTGCTCCACCCCCGTCTGGGCGGCCTTCTCGCTCCTGGAAATTGCCTCTGGAGGTCCTGGAGGTCCCCCGAGGTCCGATCTCCCGATCTCCAGAGTACTCCCCTGTGGGCGGTCTCAGCGGAGGCCTCTCCAAAAGCTTTCGGTCGGGCACGTCTTCCTACAGGCGGACGTTGGAAGAAATAAGAAAGATTGTCGAAACAAAAATCATGAATAGTCGAAAAAACGGAAAAATGTACCAGGCTATCGTTTTACTATCCTTGAAATTTCCTCCTATAGAGGGACATGCCCGACTCAGAAGCCTCGGGCGGCCTCTGAAGGTCCAAACAGAAAGCCAGAGACGCAAAGCCTCGACTGTTCTCCCCCCTCCTCCCCAGAGACACTCGGTCGGCTGCGCGCTGCTTGAGGGCGCCGTCGGGTGCTCCCCCCTGGACGTCTCCAGGGGTGCGTTCTGACCAAAATTTGCGAGGCGAATCTAGCTGTGGCGACCGGGGAAGGGCAGCGGGATCGGTATATGTTCCTCTTCTGAGTGCCAGGAGGGGGGCCGTGGGCCCGCTCCAAAGGTCACTCTTGCGAAGGGGCGCCCTTTCGCGTAGCCGACGGACACTTCCCCAAGGCTGGCTCTTCATCCTGCGTCGCTGCTGGATGCTCCGGGGGCCTGGCGAAGGCCCCAAGAGGCCGGCGACAGCGAAGAGCTCCCGTGCCGACCTCTTCCATACTGTGGAGGTCCAGGTCTCACCCCGCCTCCTCCGGCCGCGAGAGAGAGACGGGTCCTGATGGAATCGGGTCCTGGACTGGAGAGCAGGGCTCGGCCGAGACGGTGTTTGCCGTTCTCGTTGTTCCTCCGTTCTCCCCCGTTTCCTGCCTTCGTCCCGCCAATGCCGCAAAACGAAGCCGAAACAAACACGACCCACGAGATCGCCCAAACACCGCTCAGCTCGAGGAGGAGGAGGAGGAGGAGGAGGAGGAGGAGGAGGGAGGGAGGGAGGGAGGGAGGGCGGGAGGGAGGAGGGGGGGAGGAGGCGGAGGAGGCGGAGGAGGAGGAGGAGGACGAGGAGGAGGAGGAGGAGGAGGGAGGGGAGGGAGGAGGAGGAGCGAAACCCTCCTCCAAAGCCCCGAGCCGCTCGCCCTGCGGCGCCCGGGGGCTCGGGGGCAGGGCCCCCCCGGGAGCCCGAGGACGGCGCGGCGGCTCGGGGCCCGCTGCCCTCGGGGCCCGCTCGCTTCAGGGCGGCCCTCCACGGGCGAAGAGCGGCGCAGCAGAAGCTTGCGGTCGGGCATGCCCTACCACAGGGGGGCTCGGGAGGGGAGCAAAAGCTCGAAAATAGTCCATAGATCATCGGCAAGTCATCCCCAGACTATTGCTCGACTGTTTCTGGATATTCCTCCCGTAGAGGGACATGCCCGACCTAACATAAGCTCGGTCTTGATCGGGGACGCCTGTCCCCGACCCCGGCCCCAGCCCCAGCCCCGGCCCCGGCAGAGAGCCCAAGAGGCTCCCAGGAGAGCTCCCAGAAGGGCTCCAGAGCGTCAGCGTCGCCGTCGTCGCCGCCGCCGCCGCCGCCGCCGCCGTCGTCGCCGTCCCCCTTCAGGGTCGGCGGCACGGGCCGCAGGGCCTTCCCAATAAGCTTGTTCTGGATCAGGGACGCCTGTCCCCGGGCGGCTGAGAAGTCTACACCCCCGCGGTGGCAGGTGGGGGTACAGACTTTCCAGCCGCCCTGGGGCAGGCGTCTCCGATCGAGGGAAGCTGTATCATATACCACCCTCCGCCCGCCAAGATCCTCCCCGAAGACACGACTCGGGCCTCCAGTGGCCGTTCGGGACGACTCAGGCACACCTTGGGCGCTCTTGGCGAGTCGCAGCCGCTGGAAAGCACCTCGAGGCTGGAAAAGCTCTGGGAGCGGACGGGAGGAGCCAAAACGGCGATGAGCCGGCCGCCAGGCTTCGAGGAACAGACAGACATAAGCATAATTCCTCGGAGGTCCGTGCGGATTTCTTGGATCGGATCGGCGCTGGGCGAGGCGCCGCCAGGGGGGCCCAACGCCGGTCCAAGAAATCCGCGCGGAGCTCCGAGAAGGTGTGGTCATGCCGTTCTCCGTTCTCGAAGGGTCCGGGTGGGGGGTTAGGCGGCGCGGTCACTCGTTGTGGTTGTACACCCCCGGCTTGCACGCCTGGCGTGTGCGAGGAGGGGGCGCCGCGCGCCGCCATCTGGGGCTGCGTCCTCCGAAGTCATTGTCCTTTTTCCTCTTTGTTGTGTTTGTGTTGGGTTCTTGTCTTGTCCCATAGCTATCCTCATCTCTATCTTCCCTCCTCCTTCTCCTCCTCCTCCTCCTCCTCCTCCTCCTCCTCCTCCTCCTCCTCCTCCTCCCCCTCCCTCCTCCTCCTCCTCTCCTCCTCCTCCTACTCCTCCTCCTCCCCCTCCTCCTCCTCCTCCTCCTCCTCCTCCTCCTCCTCCTCCTCCTCCTCCTCCTCCTCCTACTCCTCTCGTCCTCTGGCGATGGCAGGCGCTGCTGGAGAGGCTCAGAGGTCGGCACGAACACCGATGCCTGCTGTTGCCACCATCGGGGGAAGTCCTCCTGCGGAGCCAGACCTCATATCCACAAGCGCTGCGCCCTGGAGCCCAGAGGCGCGGGCGGCACCGTGGCCTCGACCTCCAGCGGGCTCACACAAGAGGACCCTCGGGGGGCGCCGGGAGGCGACGGAGGGAAGCCGATCCCGATCTCGGTGACGGTGGTGACAATTACTCAGGCTTCCTAGGTGACCGAAAGATTACCACCAGCACCAAGATTGAGGACCGTCTTCCCCTGGTGGAGACACGCCCCTGTGTTGGTGCGGCTGCTCATGTGCGCCTCCCATTACTGGCGGGGTGAAGGGGGAAGGGAGGGGTCAAAGCCCACCGCCTTCACTAGTTCTAGGGGGGCACTAGGAGGAAAGGCTGGCTTCGACGTCGCTTCGTCACGGAACAAGAAGAACGACGACGAAGACGACAACAAAGACGACGACGAGGACGAAAACGACGACGGAACCGTAGGGACGGCGGGAAGGGGGCCGGTGACGGGGCCGGTGACATCACTATTTGCGCTGGCGCCGCTTCGGGGATTCGGTGCCCTGGACTGGCCATTTCCAGACGGCGCCGGCGCGAAGCGTGACACTGCCAGGGGTGGAAGGGCGAGAGGCGGCCCAGGTCGTGGGCGAATGGCAAGACAAGCGAGCTCTTGGCGGACGACGCCCTTCGTTGTCATCACGAGTGTGCAGCGGTGCCCACAGAGAGTACACGAAGCAAACCCGCGGCAGTGCGAAGACCAAGCTGCGGCAAGGAGGGGAGGAGCAGCGAGGGGAGAGGAACACGGCGGACGGGGTAGCCAGGGAGAGAGGACGGCTACGCAGCAGGAGGGAGCAGGGAGGGGCGGCAGAGGACGAGGAGCAAGCGGCGAGGTCGCCGAACGGACGACGGAGCCCAGGAGGCATCGCAGCTGGTCTTGTGAGCGTCTCGTGAGCGCCGGAGGGGCGGAAGGGAGGTGGCAGACAGAGGGCGGTAATGATGATGATGATGATGATGATGATGATGATGATGATGATGATGATGATGATGAAAATGATGATGATGGTGATGATGATGGTGGTGGTGATGGTGGTGATGATGACGATGATGGTGATGATGATGATGGTGATGATGATGATGATGGTGATGGTGATGGTGATGGTGATGAAGATGATGATGGTGATGAAGATGATCATGGCGATGATGGTAGTGATCATGATCGTGGAGCAGATGGCGGTGGCGATAGTAATTACGATTATGATGATGCGTCTGACTATGATGATGGTGGTGGTGGTGGTGACGATGATGGTGTTGGACATGGTGGTGGTGATGGTGATTACGATGATGGAAATGATAGATATGATGAAAATAGTGCTGATGATGATGATAATCATGATCATGATCATGATGATGATCATGCTAATGATGATGATGATGATGATGATGATGATGATGATGATGATGATGATGATGATGATGATGCTCATGGTCATGATCATGCTCATGATGATGATGATGATGAAGCGACCATCCCTTGTCAGATGGTGGTGATGACGATGATGATGGTGATGATGGTGATGGTGATGATAATGATGATGATGATGATGGTGAAAATAGTGGTTATGATGATGGTGATGGTGATGGTGATGATGGTGAGAATGGTGACAATGATTATGTTGATGATAACGATGCTGATGGTGATAATGAAGATGTTGATGATGGTGTTGATGATGATGATGATGATGGCAGTGGTAGTGATGATGATGGTGATGGTGATGGTTATGGTGATGATGCTAAGGATGATGATGGTGATAATGATGATGGATGGTGGCGGTGATGATGGTGATGATGGTGATGGTGGAGATGGTGGTGGTGATGGGAATGACGTTGAATGATGATGCTAGTGCTGCTGATGATGATTATGATCATGAAGCGCCTGCCCTGGTCGCATGCTGGTGGTGACGATGGTGATGGTGGTGATGAGGGTGACGATGACGGTGATGATGATAATGATGATGCGGATATATTGATGCTTGTGATGATGATGATGATGATGGTGATAGAAGTGATGATGACCGTGATTATGATGATTGTGATGAGTATGATGATGATGCTGATGATGCTGATGATGATGATAATGTTGATGATGACGACGACAACATGGTGATGGTGATGGTGATGGTGATGGTGATGGCGATGGTGATGGTGGGGATGGTGATGATGGCGATGACGATGACGATGACGATGACGATGACGATGATGATGATGATGATGGTGATGATGATGATGCTGATGATGATAATGTTGACGACGACGGCGATGATGATGTTGATGATGATGATGATCAACATCATCATGATGATAATGATGCTGGTGATGCTGATGATGCTGATGATAATGATGATGATGATGATGATGATAATGATGATGATAGTGATGATGAGGATGCTGATGATGATGATGGTGGTGATGCTGATGATGATGATCGTGGTGATGATGATGATGGTGGTGGATGATGATGATGATGATCATGATGATGATGATGATGATGATGATGATGATGATGATAATGATGATGATGATGATGATGATGATGATGATGATGATGATGATGATGATGATGATGATGATGATGATGATGATGATGATGATGATGGTGGTATGGTGATGATGATGATGATGATGATGCTGATGATGCGCCCCTAGTTGAATAACTGTCGGAGGTCTGCGCGGATGTCTTGGATCGGCGCTGGGATCCCCATTGGCGACGCCTCCCGGCGCCGCCCCTGGCACCCGGGACCTCCCGAAGCGTGATGCGTATAAGGTTTTTCTCCTTCGTAATGATGGAGCGCCACCCACTGCGCCTTTTCAGGGCATGACAGCCGACAAGAGCAGGAGAGCTCGGCCGGCAAGCCTGCTTCCTCCCCCAGTGAATTCGAAGAGTTCGCCTGCGAGGGTCCATGAGACATGTTTCTCACACGAGCGTTCAGGTTCAAATCGAGTCGGCCACCCTTGCTGGCACCACCTGGGGTGGGTGTGGAGAACGGGGGGGACGAGGAGCAGGAAAGGAAGAGCATGGTGAGGAGAAGGCGAGGGGGAGGTGTAGGGCGAGGATGGACGAGTTAGAAGAGCGTCTCGAGGCTTCCGCGGCCGAGGGGAGTAAAGACGGCTGTTGGAATACTTGAGAGAGCGTGATCCACCGCCGCTTTACTGTGGAAAATTCCCCCCCCTCTTCCTCCGGAACCCGAGGGTCCGTCCCCCCCCCCCCTTCGAAAATCCCCCCCCCCTCTGCTGGACCCCCCCCCTCCCCTCCCCCGGCAAAACCCCCCTCCCCTAACCCTCCCCCCCCCTCCCCCCGAAAAAAACCGGGGGGGTCACTACCGGTTCGACCCTCCCCCCCCCCAGAAAACCGGAGGGGGTTCACTACCGGTTCGAACCCCTCCCCACCCCCCCCTCACCGCCAGCAAACGACTCCCGGTCCCTACCACCGTCCTCACCACATCCCCCACTGTTGTTCCCAGCACCACTGTCCTCACCACCACTGTCCCCACTGGTTCCACCACCGCCCCTGCTGTCCCCACCAGTGCCACCACCACTATCACACTGTCCCCACTGTCCCCACCACTGTTCCCACCACGGTTCCACTCTCCCCACTTTCTCCACGGCCTCAACCACTGCCCGACTATCCCCAGTCCCCACTGTCCCACTGACTCCTCCGCTGTCCCACTGAGCTGTCCCACTGTTCCCACCACTGTCCCCACTGTCCCCACCACTGTCCCCACTGTACCTCTGTCCCATTGTCCCACCGCCGTCCTCGCCACCGCCTTCACCACTGTCCCCACCACCACTGTACCCTCCACTGTCCTACTGTTTCCACCACATTCCCACTGTCCCCACACCACTGTCCCCACCACCACCGTCCCCACCACCACTGTCCCCACTGTTCCCACCATTGTCCTCACCACTGTCCCCACCACTACCGTCCCCACCACTGTCCCACTGTCCCCACCACTGTCCCGCTGTCCCCTCACCAGTGTCCCCACCACCACCGGCCCCACCACTGTCCGCACCCCCCCCCGGTTTTCGAGGGGGGAGGGGTTCGAACCAGTAGTGACCCCCCCCCCTTTTCATGATGGACTGGGGGGGGGTTCGAACCGGTAGTGACCCCCCCCGGTTTTCCGAAGGGGGGGGGGGCGAGGGGTTCGAACCGGTAGTGACACCCCCCCGGTTTTCCGCCAGCAGCGGTAGAACACGCTCTTTCGACTACTTGAACCCGCCTCGAAAGCACATTATGGGACCATGCAAGCATCGAGTCATCACAACTCTACAAACAATAACAACTTATGAGCACAGACATCGGCATTCGCACGCATCACTGGCCTAGATGGAGTGGGTGGGGAGCCAGACTTTCTTCTAACCTCGCAAACTCGGCATCAAGCTGCCTCGCTCTGGCGCTGGATGTGCAGGTGCGCGGGAATACCGCAGCCCGTTTGGCACAGAAGAGGACCCAGTGTTCGAAACGCATCGCCGCTAAGGAAAAATGCCTTGTGCCGGATTCGCACCAAGGAAGTAGCGGAACGATTCGAATCTCACGGCCCCGCAAGCCACTTCAGGACCTGGGAGGGCCGC